ACCCCCTCTGGTGCAGGACCGGGGACGTGATACAAAAGCATCAGGCCTCAGCTCCTCGTGCTCCATGCCAGGGCCCTTCGTGGCTTGTCCCCATGCCGTCCACCCGTCCCCCCGTTCAGCGGTGGACGCCCACCTGCCATCAGCCCGTGCTGGCAGCCTTTCCCACTGGTTAGATTTTCTGCATCTTTATTGCTCCCCCCACCCTGCCTTCGCTCTCCCCCAAATCAAACCCATTCTCTTCCTCCCAGTTCTTGCTTCTTTGCAGTGACCCCCACAAAAGCCTTGATGGCAACCTGGGAGCCCGCTGGCGAGCACCGTCTGCTCTGTCTTCATGCACCTGCTGGCTCTTCTCGCACAGTCAGATGGATTGCAGATTGGCTGAAGGGTCGCACTCAGAGGGTGGTGGTGGATGGATCATACTCGACTTGGGGGGAGGTGGGTAGTGGAGTCCCCCAGGGCTCGGTCCTGGGGCCTGCGCTGTTCAATTTCTTCATCAGCGATCTTGATGTTGGGGTGGAGAGCAACCTGTTTAAATTCGCTGATGACACCAAAATTTGGGGGGAGGTGAGCACGCTAGCAGGGAGAGAGAGATTGCAGAAGGATCTGGATAGGTTACAGGGGTGGGCAGACAGGAACAGGATGCGTTTCAATACGGACAAGTGCAGGGTGCTGCACTTGGGTAGTAGGAACCAGCAGCACACTTATACGATGGGGAGCTCCCTACTTGAGAGCACGGAGGCGGAAAGGGATCTTGGTGTCATTATTGACTCCAAGATGAACATGGGCCGACAATGCGAGGTCATGGTTGGCAGGGCTAACCGGACCTTGTCGTGCATCCACAGGTGCATCTCGAGTAGAGCCAGGGAGGTGATCCTCCCCCTCTAGGCGACGCTGGTCAGGCCGCAGCTGGAGTATTGTGTCCAGTTCTGTGCGCCCCATTTCAGGAGGGATGTGGACAACATGGAGAGGGTCCAGAGGAGGGCCACCCGCATGATCCGGGGACAACAGGGCAGACCCTACAGTGAGAGACTGCGGGACTTGAACCTATTCAGCCTCCACAAGAGAAGGCTGAGGGGGGACCTGGTGACCGTCTATAAACTCACTAGGGGGAACCAGAAGGGTTTGGGGGAGACGCTGTTTCCCCTAGCCCCCGCTGGCATAACAAGGAGTAACGGGCACAAGTTGATGGAGAGGAGGTACAGATTGGACATCCGAAAAAACTACTTCACAGTCAGGGCGGCTAGGAGCTGGAACCAACTTCCAAGGGAGGTGGTGCTGGCCCCTACCCTGGGGATCTTTAAGAAGAGGCTGGATACTTACCTGGCTGGACTCATTTGAGTCCCGTTTTTGTTTTTAGGGTGAGTGGTTTTGTTTTTGTTTTTTTTTTGGGTTGTTCTCCCACCCTGGCGGGGGGTCGGGCTAGAAGATCTATTAGGTCCCTTCCGACCCTGAAACTATGAAACTATGAAACTATGCTGATTGTAAGCCCTTTGGGGCAGAGGCTGCTTTTTATTTTGCTTGTACATCACCTGGCTCAATGGAGTCATGCCCTGCATAGGCATCCCGATTATTATAACTGCATCTGTGGGGTGAAACAACCCTTCTAATCCCCACGTCCCCAGTTCCCATCCCATTGCATGATGTCCTCATTGCTGAGAGGCAAACCGTGTCTGATTTGTGGCTTGATCCCGGCTGGGTTGCAAAGCCATGGTTCAGGTGTGTGGCTATGAAATGACTGTCGTGTCGTTTTTCCTGTCTCTGAGCAAATGCCACAATGCAGCTGAGGCTTCCCAAATGACAGGCTAAGATCTGCTGTTGCAGAGCTGCCGTTCCCATGCCGTTTTATTACGGATGTTAAGCGCTTTGGGGCTTTTCTGAAAACCCCAGTTCCTGGCAGACTGTCATTCTTACCCAAGTCATGGCTTTTATTTAAAGAAACGTGCAGCGGTAGCTGTCATTCCTGCAGAGCAAAGCTTTGGAACGGGAAGGCTCAGATGAGACAGCAAAGAGAGCCCCACAGTGAATATAACTTTGCTTTTAAAACACCGGCTCCAGGTATTTGACTGTTCCTGGCGATGTGTGTCTGGAGCTGACTTGCAGAAAGCAGTAGGTTAAGCTAGCCATGTATCAGGAAGGAAGGAAGGAAGGAAGGATGCTCTGGGGTGTGTAGCTTGGTGCACTGGAGTGCAAGAGCTCTTGGGTCTGTCCTTGCCTTCTGGCCAGGTAAAATAGCCGGTGTCCTGCTTCCTTCACCTGAAAAAATAGGGATAGATGCTCTGCTGAGGAGGGCTGGGGCTGCCTCTGCAGGGCCACTGACCTCCTAGCTCTCCCCCGGCTCTACCACCCTGGAGCCTTCATCTTTTCCCATCATGCCACTGTGCTACTGAAACCTGCTGCTGTTTCCAGAGGCTTGTGTGTCCTGTGCTTGCAACTGAGTGTGTGCGTGTGTGTGTACATATACATATGCATGTACATATATGTGTGTGTATATATACACATGTGTGTACACACATGCATATACGCGTACGTGTGTGTACACATACACATGCATATGCATATATACGTGTGCGCATGTGTACATAGACATATGCAGATGCATATACATATATATGTGTATGCACATACTTCTACATCTATATATACACATACATATACACATATGTGTGTGCATGTGCGTACACATACATATACATATGCATATACATATATACATGCGTGTGCATTCACATATATACGTGTGTGTACGTATACATAGGCATATACACACATGTGTGTGTGCATGTGTACACGTACATATATATGCATATTTATGTGTGTGCATTCACACATGTATGTACATATACATAGACATATACACATATGTGTGTGCATGTGTACACGTACATATATATGCATATGCATATATATGTGTGTGTGCATTCACACGTGTATGTCCATATACATAGACATATACACATGCATGTGTGTGCATGTGTACATGTACATATAGATGCATATACCTATATACGTGTGAGCATTCACACGTGTCTGTACATATACATAGACACATACACATACATGTGTGTGCATGTGTACACGTGCATATGCATATGCATATATATATGCATTCACATGTGTGTGTATATACATATGCATGTGTGCATGTGCGTGTGCATGTGCACGTGTGTGTGACACCTCTGGGCCACCGTTATTTTAAAGATCCTCTGTGGCTAAACCACGCCTCGTAGCATGCTCGCCAGCCAATCAGAGGGTCCGTCCCGGTAGCACACTCCTTGTTCCTACAATAGAGCTATTGTTTGCTAGGAACATGGATGTTTCCAGTTAAAATTCTGAATGGGGAAGGGAAAAGTTTTTGTTCTGCCTGCCGTAGTAAGCCTTCTGGTGCTAGAATCCATTCTTGGAGTGACAATCATCCTACACGAGCCTCGGGGAGACAAGCCCAGGTTTCAGGGCTGCCAGGGTACCCCCTTGGTGATGGGCAAGGGGCGCGAGGCCTCACCTGGGACCCCCCTTTTCGAAATGCGCAGTCTGCTGGTGTCGCTCCTCCACGACTTGCTGCAACCACTGCTCTATTTTTTTCAACTGGATGAATGCTGGCAGGCGCACCACTCCACCAGTGGAAACCACAAGGAAGCGTTCCCAGATCTGGGGATTCTGATGTAATAGGACTGAGGTTAACATTCCTGTGCGGCATTTCTAGCCCTAAATCAAAATCAGAGCTGTCATCCTGAGCCCAGCGTTACTAATGTTATTGAAACTTGGCCGGGAAGAGGGGAGGGCTGAGCAAAAAGATGCTGAATTGGTTGGTTTCTTCTGAGTTTATTTCTTGGCAAAGGAGATGAAAGCGCCTGTGGAGCTGAAATGCTAGTAGCTGTTTTAACCCTGCTAAAGCTGATATTCTTGACATGTTCCTTGCCTGGGAATAAGCCTCCAGTCATCTATGGGAAAACTGACTCAAAGAGAAGGGTTTTTGAAGCCATGGCTTCCTAGATGTTTAAGGTGTGAGGTACCTACGGTCACCTAGTCTCTGTCCAAAAGCAGGGTTGATGCCTACAGGGATGTGTAGTCTATCATAGAGTCATAAACAATGAGGGTTGAAGGGATCTCAGGAGGTCACATCTAGCCTAACCCCCTGCTTCAAGCAGGACCAGCCCCAGCTACATCATCCCAGCCACGGCTTTGTCCAGCTGGGTCTTCAACACCTCCAAGGATAGAGACTCCACCACCTCTCTGGGTGACCTGCTCCAGTGCTTCACCACCCTCCTGGTGACAAAGTTTTTCCTAATATCCAACTTAACTTCCCTTGCTGCAGCTTGAGCCCACTGCTCCTTGTCCTGCCATCTGCCCCCACTGAGCACAGCCCAGCTCCGTCCTCTTTGCAGCCCCGTTGCTTCCAAACTGTGGCAAAGTTGTTGTGGTGAGACTTTGCAAACCGAAGTCATGCGTGTGCAACAGAGATGATAGGTCACTGCAGGGGAAGATGTTTTCTCCTAGTATCTGCTGGCCAAAATTTCATCGCTCTCCGGGAGTTCGTGCTAGACACCCACCACCCTGGTAGCGTTTCAGAGTAACCTGCTGGGCTAAATCCCACACATCCTTAGTCAAGCAAAAATCTTAAATGAATGGATGTTTTGTCTGAATAGACCTGAGTAAGAGCATCATGATTTCACCATGTGTCAGCATAGTGCCTTGGGGTCCTTTGGGATGAAAAACGCTACCAAAATGCAACGTATTCTGGACATGCAAGGCACCCGTTTAAACTCCGAGTCACCTGCAAAGACTCCTGGCAGCCCTAGTGTCACTAGAAAATCATGTATTGTTGTCCACCTGGTCCATATAATGATATTGCTATAATCACCCCCCACCCTCCTTTGATCCATGGGTTTATATTCTCGGCAGGTACAATAGCCTTCATCCCTATGTGGCCAGCACCGCTGTGTTACCTTGCAATGGAATTAATTCTAAATTGGCATCTATTTTTCCCATTGTTTGTGGTGCAGGAGGTCTTTGATCGTCTCTATGTGATTTATACTATCGGATACTCCATCTCCCTGGGCTCCCTGACGGTGGCTGTCCTTATCCTGGGATACTTCAGGTAGGCATCTGTTTTGAACTATTGATTTGTTATCGCCGGAGATACTTGGGTTTTCAGACATCATGCACCTGCTTTATGTGTGCATCTCCTCCGGCTGACATGGAGGTCGTCTTAACAGTTGTGGGTCGTGCCATTGAAACAAAGATGATGTGGAGGGTTTCTCCTGTCTTGAAGTAAATGTCCTGTGCAGAGAGAGCTCAACCCTGCATTGGAGCAACCTAATGCTCCTATTTGTAACAGGGGTGAAGTCTGAATGAGTCCAAGCCCTGGGGGAAGAACAGCAAAGCTTTTCTGGTGCCCTCGTGTTCATAGGAGCATGCACCGGGGGCAAGAAATGGCTGTGAGCCCCTAGATGAGGATTCCTCCAACTGTGATGGGGAAGAGATTATAGAGCCCTCTCTTCTCTAGGTGTGGTGCTCACACCTGCTGCCTGTGGTCAGGGATGCAGACTGTCAGGAGGGAACTGGCTGGAGTGCATCACGCTCAGCTGGAGGGTGGCCTTTTTCTCAGCTGGAGGGTGGTCAGCTGGTTGTAGGGCATCACGACAGCGGCAGGGCAATGCAACTTCTGCAGCGTCTGCAAATGAGCTCTCAGGCACCTCTGCCCTGGCCGAGGCTAAACCATAGACCCGGGAATTAGACATGCAACCTTTGGCTTTTCGAGCATACAGACCTCTCTCCAGTGCACTTGGGAGGGCAATTTTATTAGCCCAGACAGTGGAGAGAGCCTGTGCATGTAGGTCTCAAATGCACCCAAAGCAAGACACTGGTTTTGGCACTGTGGCACCTGTGCTGTGTAGTCCCCCCTTGCAAGGTCTTCCTCCTAAATGCCTCATTTCCTATTACAGAGCAGGAAGGTTTGGTAAAAAGCTTTACTGCTGTAACTCTCCACGCCATGAATAGAAAGTCTGAGGATGCTCACATCTCACACCTCCTGGCGCTGAGCAGTTCTCCTCGCTGCCATGCGTCGCTGCTAAAGTCAGAGGTTATGGTGGGAGAAGCAACAGTGCAGGACCAGCACCCTTCGACTCAGCTCACCCACCTCTCCGCCTGCCCACAGCCCAATCCGCTTGCATTAGACACCGAAATATATACTGCCATCAAAGCCAGGAGATTTCAATGGATCTGAGCTCACAGCCCCTCTCAGCACTGCCCTGGACAAATAAATAATCTCTCCCTTCCCATGGGGACAGTGCTTCTGACCTACAGGATCTCAAATTGCTCGACGGTCTTTTTATTCAGGGATCAGTCCACCCACTGCTGCAAGGCAGCCACGGCTGTTGTGAAGCCCTGCTCCTGGGTCCTGGGGTCTGACAATGCGTGCAATAGGAGGTGTTGTGGAAACCACGACACCCCACCTTGTCCTTGCCCAGAGCATCCTTCCAGGTCCTGCCACGAGGCACGCTGCACCTTGTGGCTCTTTTTCAACCCTCTGCCCAGTCCCCCTGAAGACGGGGGGGACCCATTGAGTTCCCCAGGGTGAATTTGCATTGTAACAGGGCTCTGACTCTGGAGTGGGTCCACGGCAGCCACGTGGCACTGTTGGGAGGAAAGGTCCCACCATGGGGCAGAATCACTTGAACCCACCAGCAACCGGCAGCCAAGGCGGCGTTAGGGATGCACAGGTGGATCTGGCCCGTGCCCAAGTGGACTTCCCACCTTTTCACCCTTTTGTTCTCCCGCCCAGGCGTTTGCACTGCACGAGGAATTACATCCACATGCACCTGTTCGTCTCCTTCATGCTGAGGGCCGTCAGCATCTTTGTGAAGGACGCGGTCTTGTACTCGGGGTCAGCTCTGGAGGAGATGGAGCGCATCTCAGAAGAAGACCTGAAGTCCATTACCGAGGCCCCCCCAGCGGATAAGTCACAGTTTGTGAGTATTGTGTCTGCTTGCTTCTCTCTCCCTCTTGCATATCACCTCCCCGTAGCACCCGGAGGGTTTGAAGCTGTAGACTTTCATGCCTCTTCCCCTCTTGGAGAGCTTTCTCTTTCCATGACTGCCCACGCCACCCCGTGTCCCACACATACATGTGCTCGTCTGCTTTCTTTGCTCACCAGCCTGAACTCAGTCCAAGGTGTATGTTGGTCCTAAAGGCCCCTCTGACCTATCTGATCAGTGCAAACTGGACTTTTATTTTCTATCCATGATCATCACAGGGAATATCAGGGCTGGGGTTTTTGCCCACTCCTATTGCAAAGTTGCCCGATAACAGTAGTGCCCAGGAGAGAGTCTCCTCTCTATTCCAGAAGCGTTGCTGCCTCCATCCGTGCATCACTCTCGCAGCACACACTTTCCTCTCCAGTCTGTAATGCAATGCTTTTCCACTCTGCTGTTCAAAGCATGCAGACATCACAGAGCTGTCAGACCTGTGCCCTCTGACTGACATGCCTGCTTTTCCTGGACGCGGCGCTACGTGACTTGGAAAGCCCTCGACTCAGCTCTGAGTCCAGAGAACAGAGCTGGGAGAGGATATAGGCTTTAAGCTGGAGTCGTAGCTCATTAAACATCTCACTTCGCTGCAGTTTACAACGTGTTACAACTTACTGCTCCCATTACGATTTCACAACCCTGGCTCGGATGGTGAAATGCATGTTGGAAAGGTGCATCGCAGCATTGGATGCCGTTAGAAAGAGAGGGGCTGTTGTCATCCTGACATGTTGAAACCTGCTACTCCCACTGCTGTTGGCTGCTCCAATTTTAATGCATTATTCTGATTATTAGTAGTAGATGCAATGGGACAGATTCTGTCCTACTTATTAGATGCATAATGGGACATAAGTGCCAGAAGCCCCTAGCCTACATGCATCCAATATCTGTTCCCAGATCCCAACAACCATATGTCCTTCCATGCCATGTGTGCATGGCAGGATGGGCAATTTTGGGGTCAGGAATCAGATCTCAATCAGGCCACTACTATTTTCCAGTGCAGGAGGGTCCAGGATCATGATCCTAGATTGCCCCCCCTATACCGGCAAGTAGAAAGCAGGGTGCCTGGTGAACTGGTGCAATCCCAGAGCTGATTGTGGGATGGCACTAGGCTGTTGAATGTGCTTTGGTGCTGTCCCAGGGCTGATGCTGCCAATCCGTTGATTGGCGGTTCCACCCCTGGGACCTCGCTGGAGTCGGCCGTCGGGCTGCACGGCAGGGACCCTTGCACACATTCAGTTTAAGGTGCAATGGAAACCAGCCACACAGATATTACACATAGTTTGCAGCATGATGTTGTGGTTTATTTCCTGTTTCTTCCTCCAATTCATGGCATGAATGTGTGGCCAGGTTGGTATGAACTGGTTGCTCCCACCTTAAGTGTCAGGTCTGCCAGAGGTCTAAGTGAGAGTCCATTGCACTCGACCCAAGACCCTAAAAACAGTCAGTGCAAAAGGTGAGTTGTTCCTCCTCCTCCTCCCTGCTTTTAAGTGACTCAGTCTCAAGGGTTAGATGAGAGCATGCTGTAAAAGTGGATTTTTCAGCGCTGGAGCAGAGTGGAACAGAATTGCATGTAGGTGCCTAAGTCCATGTCAATAAATTGGAGAGTCCAGTGGAGGGCAATGGAAATGATGGGCACAACTTGTGAGAAGAGGCTGAAGGGACTGGGCTGATTTAGCCTGCAGAAGACAAAAGAAAAGCCTTACTCTCCCATATCTAGGCCAGGTCTGCCCTGCAGTCATTGCTGTGCCTGCAGCTCGTGGCCTACAGGAGCGAGCATTGCTCTAGGTAGCACTGGAAGCAGTCTCGTTAATGGTAACGTGGAGCTCAGCAGGAGCAAACTGCCCAAATATTAGCTCAGGTGACTTCTGCAGCCCACACTGGCTTCCCTGCTGCCACAGCTAGACTACCCCTGAGCTAGCGAGCATAAAGAGAGCTTGACTGTTTAAGCTGTGTGGCCACAGGAGTGCTTTCAGTGGAGCTTATCCGTAGTCCTCGCCCCATGAAACCAGTGTTGCTCCATTGAAATCTTTTAAGGGATTCAGTTTGTCCAGGTTTAGGAGCATTCCTCCACCCCCTGGCTTTCCAAACTGCAAAGGGGCATTTCAGGATTATTCACCATGGTCCGTGCATTATCATAACCCACTTTGCAGCATGCATGATGTCCCTGTCTGCACCCAATCCCCAGAGAAGCTAGGTTTAGGAGCATCCCTCCACCACTTTGGCTTTCCAAACTGCAAAGGGGCATTTCAGGATTACTCACCATGGTCCACGCAATATCATCACCCACTTTGCAGCATGCATGATGTCCCTGCCCGCACCCGATCCCCGAAGAAGCTGGGTTTAGGAGCATCCCTCCACCCCCTGGCTTTCCAAACTGCAAAGGGGCATTTCAAGATTATTCACCATGGTCCATGCATTATCATCACCCACTATGCCGTGTGCATGATGTCCCTGCCCGCACTTGATCCCCTGAGAAGCTGCAGAGCCTCATGGGTTTAGTTTGGAAAGCCACCAGCTTGGTTCTCGGAGTCAAAGGCGACGGCCAGCCCATGCCGTCGAGCAGGAAAACCCTCGCTGTCTACAAAGACGACATGGATTTTGGGATGTTTCTGTAGCAGTCTGGGCACTCGTCCTTCCAGACCCATCACAACGGATAGCTGGGGAGAGACGCTTCATTTTGTGCATCTCAGCACTTCAGCGGCATCTCCTATTCAGTGGAATTCAAAAGCAAACCAGTGAGGAAGTGGATTAGCACTGATTAATAGCTACCTTTTGTTTCCGAATGAAGTGACAGCTCTGCAATTATCCCCTCAGCCTATTAATGTGTGGGTAGACAGCAATTTTCTACCAATATAGAAGTTACCACTAGAACTGGGTTGGTTTTGGGGTTTGGGGTTGTTGTTTTTTTTAATTTATCTTTCTTTTTTTTTTCTTTTTTTTTTGCCACTGCTTTTTCTTTAGCAAAAAAGGGCATTTCTTAGTTGGTAAAAGTCAGCCACTTCATAGCCAGGCAGCCTGGGAATTCCTTGCTTCGGGCACAGGATAAGCAGCGGGGCAGTTTTGTGCCTCGTGCCCGCGGCAGCGACATGGTTTACTGCACAGCCCTCCCAAAGCGATCGGCAGGATTGCTGCCACAGCAGGATCTGTTTGCAGTTTGCATGTAAAATCAGTCTGAGTGAAGCATTGGCGGATAGAGTAAGAGAGCAGCAAATTGGACTGGGGGGGAAAATTTGTAATGAAAGGCTGAATGAATTAGGGGTATTGAGTCTGAAGGGGGAAAAAATAAGGCTGAGGAGGGATTTGATCAGCTGAAGGGTGATTAGCTGAATCCAAATAGCTGAAGGGTGATTCCAGAGAGGAAGGAGATGGGCTCTTCTCCGTGACCACCGGAGACAGGACTAGGAGCAACGGCCTCAAGCTGCATTAGGGGGAATTTAGGTTGGAGATGAGGATGGTCAAGCACTGGACCAGGCTGCCCAAAGAAACTGTGGACTCTCCATCCCTGGCAGCTTTCAAAAGCAGGTTAGACAGATACTTGGCTGGACTGGTTCAATCAGGGATGATCCTGTGTTGAGCAGGGGGCTGGGCTAGATGGTCTTGTGAGGTCCTTTCCAACCCTGCTGTCTTGTGATTTTCTGATAGTCCACGAGGAACAATCCTGCAGTGACGGGGGGATGAGATTGGACGGCCCCCCACGCTCATTACCGTGATCACTGTGACATGACATCTACAATGTCACGGTCATCACATCACACGTGGATTCGTGGTTTTGTAACCGTGATGGTCTAGGGAATATGTGAGAAGCAGGATTTTTCTGGTCCTATCTTTAAGTGGATCCATTATATAGTTGGGAGAGATGTTAGACATGCTTTCGGGCGCTAAGTGACCTTTCTCAGTGCCCCTCGGAGCATTTTGTGCCCAAAATCATGCCTAGCCTGTCTCCCAGCTCCATAGTGGATTAATTATGCTTGGAATGAGGAATAATTGCTGCATCTCCAGTGGTAGATGTGGTAGGCAGTATGTGCGAGACAGCATTGTTCATGAGGAGGTCACGGTCCCTTGGGGCACGCTCAGACAAGCGGGAATGGGCAATACGCGCAGCTGGGTCTGCACACGCCACACGTTCAGGCATTCCCCATGCTGCTAATTTGCAGCACAAGGGGGTTTTTTGACACTGGGAGATCAAAAAAACCTATGCCTAAAAACAGGGTGGCAACATGTGCCATCCAAGACCGGAGCCTGGCCGGTTGGAGCCGTGCTCCAGCTGCCGACCAGGCTCCCTGCTGCAGAATCGCTGTGGCTGCAGCCCCCGGAGGTCCCCAGGACTCCAGGTAAGACTCCTGCGACCAGCCGAGGTGCTGGCCCCAGCCTCCCTAACCCCACCTGGGGCAACATGACGTACCAGAGCACGTGCACGGGTGCTCTCCAGGGACAAATAGAAGCAGCACGCATTGCAGCCTTCAGGGCCTATCAGTGTCGGTGTTTCCATCTCCCTGACGTCACGTCCTTCAGTACTTTGCTGAACAGCGAAGGCCTTCAGCTCTTGCGTATATGGATTTGCTGAATCAGGGCCAAAGGTTGAGGCTGAATTTTCTAAAGCGCTCGCCTCCCAAAATATTCAGGTAGGAGTGTGGAGCACCTTTGAAAATCTGACCTGCATCCTTTTGCAAATCTCTTGTCCCCACCCAGCTGTGGGTGCAAAGTAGACGCCTGTGAATAGTAGATCCGGCAGCTCAGTAGCTGAGCAGGGAAAAGAATTGGCTTTGAGGTGACCCAGAAAAAATATATATTAATTTTTCAGGCTGAAATGAAAACCTCTAAAAACCACTTGGAAACAAAGAAAGCATTTTGTTTCACCCAAAACCCTTTTTTTTTTTATTTCTCGTTATTCCAAGTCATCCTAGGAACAAAACATCCTTCCAAGTGAAGCGCTGACATGTTTCTTCTCAGAAATTTCCAAAACAAGCTATTCGGGCTTTTTTTTTACCTTTGTAGCTGTACCCTTGCCATCTGTGGATGGATAATTTATGGTTGTACATTTGCTTCTGCAGTTTGCATGCAGTAACCAGCTACTGATCCAGTGCTAAGTCCTATCTATCCAGTCCTAGCCCCCTTTGACTTCCACAGAGCCTCATTTGCCCTTGCCAATGGCTGTTTGGTTCCTTCTCAGCACTGCCAATGTGCTATCTCCAGCCGTTCACTTATGTTCATTAAGTGCCGCCTGCTACTCCACCTACTCACTTGCTGTGTAGACAGAGTGAACCTGTCCCGGTTTGCAATCGGAGCGGACGGTTCAGTGCTGCACACCTCCTGTTTCTATGCCGTCAACTTGCACACGTGATAACACCATCCTGCTGCTTGTCTGTCTTTGATAAAAGGCTTCCTCTGCATATCCCGAACACACGGGGCCTCTTTCACATGGATGTAATTGAATTCATGTGCCGGCTGAAACAGCAATCAGTCTGTAGACACCCAGAAGTCAATGCACGTAGGTGCCGGCAGCGGCTGCTGAATAGCGCTCTGCTTCTCTGAGTCTGTGGCACACGTGTAGCTCAAGCTGCAGCAAGGGAAGTTGAGATTGGATATTAAGAAAAACTTTCTCACTAGGAGGGTAGTAAAGCACTGGAACAGGTTACCCAGAGAGGTGGTGGACTCTCCATCTTTGGAGGTTTTTAAGATCCAGCTAGACAAAACCCTGGCTGAGATGATGTAGTTGGGGCTGGTCCTGCTTGGAGCAGGGGGTTGGACTAGATGTGACCTCCTGAGGTCCCTTCAACCCTCGTTGCCTATGATCCTATGATGTAAAAGCCACAATCAACCACCAGCCCAGGGCCCTGGGATGAAAAAGTGCATAACTTTACCATTTCTCCTTCCACTCACCATCTCCTGCACCACGGAGCAGATCTCTAGGTGACTGGTGGCACAGTGGGGTAAATCCATTGCGACACATTAACTTCAACCAAACTCAGAGCCAGGCCATGAGCTCCAAATGAGGTCCTACATCATTCAAAAAATAAATAAACTGGACAATAAAAGGGAGCTAATTGCAGAATCATGTGCAATACCCCTGGCATCTTCCAAGAGACGTCATCTCCTAGCAGATTTCATGAGCTGATTCCCAACCTACGGTTAACCTTTATCAGCCAGACCTTCAGCAGGGAATAAGCCAACCTAGCTCCATTCAACTTAGAGAGTTTCCACCAAATGACACCCCAGCCCTCTATGGCAGCGGTGCCCCGTATCTCTTTCATTAGAGCAGTGCCGGCATGTCTTAGCTGAGCTTGGGCCCATGCTGGTTGGTGTTACACGAGAGCATCTCAAGAGTGTCTCTGCCCCGAAGAAATAGGGGCACAGAAAGGACACAGCAGGTTACTTGTTGAGCTAGGTCTGAAACCCTTGTCTCCTGGACCCTAGCCCCGGCTCCTTCCTAAGACCCCCCATAGGACCATGTATCCCAGGCGTAGCAGTCTTTCCAACTTGTTCTCTAGCTCACCAGCTTTGCTGGTTTGGGTGGGCATTGGTGGTTCTCACACCATGCTTTGAACCTAACTCTCTTTCCTCTCTGGTTACTCCAGGTGGGCTGTAAATTAGCCGTTACCTTCTTCCTTTACTTCCTGGCAACCAATTACTACTGGATTCTGGTGGAAGGTCTCTATCTCCACAGCCTGATCTTCATGGCGTTTTTCTCAGAGAAGAAGTATCTTTGGGGATTCACGTTATTTGGCTGGGGTAAGTCACCACCTCTCTCTCCCGCTGGCTGGCCTACAGCACTCAATCCTCTCCGCTTGGCAGGGGGTGCATGCAAAGGCTGAGGACAGGAGATGGAGAGAGGAGTGAAGGGCTGGGGGAAGGGGCAAGCACTTGGCCCCCCCCATGTTTGTTTGAGTACATGAGCAAAGGAAGACCCACCCCCGAAGGCCTCTGTTCAAAATGCTCTCTGCAGCTCACAGCCCAACTGCAACCAGAAAGACTTCTCAAAGGGCTGCGAGGCAGGATGTCGAAGCTTTGTGGTCCATCCTCCAGCTGCACCAGGTGGATCCAGAAAGTGCCTGACCTGCCTGCGCTCTCCCTGACTCACCATCATCCCCAATCCCCCCTGTAGGGCAGGACACGGGGAGATCAGGCACCTAGAGAGGTTACTGCCCTCCTGAGCAGGCTCCACAAACCCTGCCTGCTCCCATCACAGCCGAGGCTTGCCTGGTGGTAGGGTGATGGGTTGGTTCCTTGGTGTGGCTACTTACCAGGAGGGTCCTCAACTGGCCTCGCCGAGGGGTGCACGGGGGTGTGTGTTGAACCTCTTGGCTTGTAGGGACCAGTCCTAGAAGGACATCTTGCAGTTGACTTCATTTGCAAAGGGCACAAAATCCACCACTGAGAACTGCACAGGGCAAATGAGTGCCATTGAACTGCACAGAGGAACACCCTTTTGCACCAGCTGGAAATCTGAGCCAGGTGCTCCTAAAACTCTCATCCTCTTGACCCCAGTGAGCTTTCCTGCCCAAGGCAGGTGAGCTGGATTGGATGATCTCACAAGGTCCCTTCCAGCCCTAAACTTCTGTGATTGAAATGGCTGGAGAAACCAGGAGGACATTGAAGGTCCTCTATACACAGAACCCCCCTTCTTCAGTTGATTTGAAATACTCTGGATGTTGGTTTTCTTGGGCAGTCGAATGCCTGAATGAAGACCTTTTAGTAAACCAACTCGAATAGTTGGAAAAATTATTTGCAAGCTTTCAGGTACAAATACCCTTCATCAAGCTGAGGAAGCATCTGCAGTTGGTCTGTGCTCTTCCTGGATGGAACGAGTAGAAATGAATGAAAGAAATAGGAATGAATGAGAAATGCTTCCTCTGCCTGACAAAGGGTATTTGTACCCAAAAGCTTGCAAAGAAGAATTTTTCCAACTATTCGAGTTGGTCTAATAAACGATATCACTTACCCAAAGAACCTTGTCTGCCGGTGTCCTTAGACCTCCATGGCTACA